ATAGGCTATACATCCTAACACAATGCCGTTCTTGTGGTCGTTCATGAATTGTCGCCGGCGCTACCACGTCTTGTTAAGGCTATTGTCGTGCAAGTACCAACGGCAGGAGTATGAACGTGATTGCTCCTCCTGACTTTAATTATTATTTAAATGAGATCTTATGAGTATTGTGGGCTCGATTGTTGTTCTTGATATTCCGTTGCGCCCAGCATTGAAGAGCCACAAGCAGTATTCTTGATTCTTGGCATCGGTTTCTTGCAATCTAAAATACTTAAATACTTTATCTTTCCTGAGATAATCTCGCTGTGAGACATAGCTGCCCCTTCCACTGACAGAAGGATCGTATCCAACGGTGCCTCGCGCACGCGCATTTTGTGTGGATCACCCGGGGTTGCCAAAGAAGGCTGAGATGATGGCGCACACATCCTAAGGGTACTAAAGCAACTGACACAAGTTAAGCTAGCTGAAAGTTCGATGGGCCATTGATCAAGTAAAGTGGCAACCTTCGATGTTTTCACATACACGACACCCACTTCGTGGATTTATTTCGGACGAAATCAAGCTCAAGAAAAGCATACAAGCCAGACCCTGCCTGCCGGAATGGCGGGCCTGCAATCAAAAATGCGGGGTGGGCCACCGGGCTTAGCGCATCTGCGACTAAGTGAAGGGCGAGGCTGCAGGCTGCAGAGCTTCGGGGTCCCCAGCTTCAGACTCGGATGGTTCCAGCAATCTGGCATTTCGGGCTCGGAGAGTTAAGATCGCAGCTGAGGCATTACGGCGCAACGCCTTCATGCTCACACAGCAGCATGGACAAGCTTATACTCTTCGCATGAAGCCGGAGGACTTCTGCGAGATACAGGCAAAGTCCGACAAGAGGTAACAGTATGCCAACTGTCCGGGCCTTTGCCGACAATCATCCAGCAGGTCGGCCACACTCCGCCTTCGAACACAAACAAGCATGATTTTGGCAACGCCGGCGGAACTTCCCTTTGCAATAACCGCCATCGTCGCAACATTCGTGATCGCACAGATGATCCATCGAAAGCTGCTATATCGGATTTGGGCCTCAACACACGAGACCCTCCATACATACGGCTTTCAGAAAAAAAGTCAAACAGGCTCCCAAAGCTCACGGGTGGCTTTGAAAGGAAGGTCCGGGAAACCCGGGCCTCTTCTGAGTGACCACAAGGCACAGGACGAAGTCCTCTGAGGCGCTCGACATCCTCAGATCTTCACTAAGGCTCAAGACATGCTCTCCATGTGCTTCAAGCGCTCAAAGTTTGAGTGCTTTGAGTCTTGAGGTTCACCACTTCAGCACCCGTCAGGCCTATGTATGCACATGTGTGCAAACCTCTGAATGCCAGAGTGAAGTAAAAAGAACATGAAAGAACCTGATGCAGACCCCAGTTTTGACCTTCCAGGGATCGATCCGGGAGGCTTGGCGCCGGCAAACAGCTGAAAAACGTGGCCCCCCGCCTGGGACAACACACAGACTGCACATGTTGGCAGCGATTCTCTCCGGATACTTTGCAAGACACGTTGGTCGTGTCGACCCGGCTCTGACCACAGCTGGCTAGTCAGTTTTGTCGGCAGAAAATCAAACAAGCAACCTGATGCCTTTTATGAAGGTCCTCACACCTGGCCTTGTCTGGCGGCTGCAGCTTCAGTGGGGAGTCCGGTCGTCGCTGGTTTTCAGGAGGATTCACACGGGCCAGCTCTCTTCCATCCAGCAGGACACACATAGAATGAGGCCACAGGTGGTGTCCTGGATGACTGGTCGAAGACATGCGCAGCTCGACCCCTTCGCCCTTCCCGAGTTGTGGCCAAGCCGACAGCTCTAATTCAGCGAAACTTCCTTGACCGCAATTGCTAGGCGCCAGGGGTGTCACTGCAAGCACGGCCGAAGCAGGCTCGAATGGATCCATCTCCTTGAAGCTGCAAGCGCAAAGGCCATCTTTCTTGAACCCACACCCCTCGCACCGCCGCGCAGCTCGGCATTGCGGGATGACTTTGCCTCGGCGTCGTGCTGGTTGATGTCGCGACCACCGCCGCTTTCGCCCGAACCCCAGCTGCAGGGAGTACATGGTGGCTGGCCCGAGGTGTGCTCATGGAAGCCATTGGAAAGCGACAGGTTGTGATTTGCCTTGTGCTTTTGATAAATGAGAAACTTCATTCCACCGACTTCTGTGAACCTAGACTGGAATGTCTTGCCAAGATGATACACGGCTCATGAGCTGTCCATAAAGCTGGGCCCGTTCAGATTCCAGCATACGCAATTCTTGCAAGATTCATGTGGGAACCCATTGGAACTACATAATAATGAGCCTTCATGGCTTTCCTGAACAGGGTTGTTAGATCACGCGTGGGATACACAGAATCAGGTAGGACCTGCAAAGCACTGAAGTGGCAAGGCAGGGTGACTCGGGTAAACACAACTAATTCGTCCGATTCTGACCTGCAACCCTCTGCAAGGTGCCGGTGGACAAGCATCATATACTTATGGCACCTTCTTCCCCTGGCTCTCGCTGCTGCAGAAGCCCTGGCCGAAAGACTCACCGGCTCTCGAAACTGACACAATTTGATGACCGATAGTCGGCTTCGGGAGCTGGCATGGCCGTCCCAGAAATTTCAAGTCGACTTGCCAGCCTTCGTGCAGCCCGGTATCCTCATGAACCTTTCTTCGAGGATGCTGCTCATCTTCGTATCATTCTGCAATCGAGTCACCCTTGCAACGCTGGGGCTGCAACTCATCGAATTCGTACGCCTTTTTGTCTGGGCAACATGACCTTCAACGCTTACGTACACTGCATCAGTGTGAGATGCATGAAGCGCAAGCGGCGCAAGCTGAGCTCGAGGCCACCATTTGGCGGTTTCATGAAAGATCGGGGCAGACTGAGATTCGGCATCACGTGAAACTGTAGAACATGCATGTCTGACGAGTCGAACAGCCCGCCAGCACCTTGTGGTGTTGGCACTCTTGCGGCGGCCTCAGGTTTCGATTCAATCCACACTGTGCTATGACAAAACAAGCGCGAATCAAATCACGAGTCCATCCAAGCTCCCGACCCATTGGGATCAAATGTCATCTGGCAGCCGAAGTTCTTACACCTAATGCGGACACACATCATTCTGCTCAGCGGTTTTTTCTGTGCTCGGCCAGCCGAGCACTCGACCTTACCTTTCCGTCTGCATTTTTAGCCACCTGGCCGGCAAGCTGTGGCACTACGTAGAATGAGGATTTGTTGTTCGCCCCGCCCCCCCCCCCCTGGCATCCGCACAAGTCACAAACTCGAAAGAAAGTCAATCTTAGTTCTTAGGCCTTGCTTTCGGTGGTGCTGCTAGCAGCTGCCGGCGTGCACTGGTAGCCCTGTCCGCATGATCGCAACATGCCAAACTGAGAACAAGCGCGTGGAATGAGGACATTGGCCTTCTCGGCCTCTTGCCGCTTGGGCGCCGGCCTTGTTAGCAGCGTACAGTATTCAAGGGCCGTGCCATCCGCCAAGCATACGTCGTGCACCATTCGTGCGCTAAAGCTATCCTGAGACCAGCACCCCTCTGAATCTTTGCCCAAGAGGTAGCACTCGTCACCGTTCCTAGACGGCTCGAGGAATTCTGGCTGAATCATGGGCACCGCCAAACATTTTAGGTGCTGGCGACAAAGAGTCACGCACTCTCTCTTCATTGTCCAGGTGAATTCCACCAACCTGATTTTGCGTTTCACGGTCTACTCATCTCGTGCCGAATCGAGCCCGAGAAATGGACAATTTTGAGGTGCAGATCCTCTGACGAGAGCATGTTGTCGGCCTTCTTCCTTGGGCGCCAAGAAGACAGAGCTGCGACCTCCTTCATCTGCAAATGCAGAAGGGCATCTTGTTGTAATGGTCCACAAAAAGTTTCACCACCTGGAACAGAACGCAAACACGTGGCTCGGGCAGTTTGTAGCAAGCGTACCTCCTTGTTGGTGCCATTGACGTACTTTTGCGGCAGAGTAAGCCGCAGCGTCATGAAAAGGTCCTGCAGCAAGCGCAGGTTCCGACGTTGAGACAGTACGGACGCGGGAGAGAGACTGGACAGGTGGCTCGGCATGAAAAACCAGGCCCCGCCCCCGTCCTCTGTTTGAGCTTCCTTTCGCAAGACACAAGTTTCCACTCATGAGATCTCATGAGTCTGATCGCTTCGAGACTTTGCGGCCTCATATTTCAGTGTGACTTTCATAGCTCGCGGACGCCTTGGCTGCCGTTGAAGACGACTCTGTGACTTTCTGCATGCCTTCGGAAATGCACTCTTGTCCGGTGGTCCATGCTTTAAGAGCCCAGCCAGAGCTGCACTCTGAGAGTGCGGCACAAGCGCCCGCCCCTACTACCTACCCCCTGACATTCAAAAATGGAGCTCTTCTAGCCAAGCCATCCACACGCACATTCCAGCGAATCAACATGCGGTGAGGTGTCTCTGTTCCAAACTCTCGCAGTCGCTTCTTTCGAGCAGACTCTGACGTTCGTTGTGCTCCTCCTCGAACTCCTTCGGCAGGTTGTTCAGCAGCCCAGCTGCTCTCTGCGGATCTTTGAGGCCTCGGACGAGGCGGTGTTCCGGAGTCACACGTGCTCTGCCGCCTCGATCGTGGCACACCTCGGGTTGTGGTGCGGGTGACCGGGTGAATCTGAACTGAGACTTCAACCTCACTTTTTTGTCGCCCATTGCACTTTTGTTGATGTGTCTCTGCGGAACATGCGCCACTGCACAGGCTGCCCCGGTGCTCCCGGGCTACTTTCATCCGTCTGCACCCGGCAGAAGAGTGACCAGATGCAAGGGCCTACTCTCATCGGCAATCAAGCAGGCATGAGAAAGGAGAGCCCGTACGGACGAAGACTTGTGACTGGCGCTCTTGTAGCTATTGACATACGGACTCTCCCATACTCCCATATCCTGTACACAGGCATTCCTGCCTTCACGAGCCGAGGGGGCCAATGCAGCCTTGTCACTACACGTCAGCGAGCCTAACCTCAGCCTCCACCGCGATTTCGACGGTGCCGAGCTGGAATGGCTCCACCCGGACGCCTCCTCTGGTCATTCGTAGGTGCCGTCGCTGTGGAAGTAGTAGGAGGGTGCCATGCTGCTGGGAAGGCCACGCTGTCTGGCCCACTCAGCTGGTCATTGAAGACTGCTGCTGCGAGCAGCCGCAGGGGCGTCATGGGCTGTGCCTGCAAAACAGACTTGGCTTCGTCCGCCGCTCCACCCATCGCCAGTAGGTTGGCGACTGTCCAATTCAGTCTCTGGTCACTTGGACAGCGCTTCAACGCAAGAACGGAATGCTCTAGCAAAGGGGCATGTGTCGCTCGAAGCCGCGCTTGTCTCAGCACGACTGATGCATTCAGAAGCATGACGGCGGCAGCATCCCTTGCCTTGTCTAGGTGGCTTTGGCTGGTGCCTGGTGCTTCGGACCACAAGACTGGCCAAGCAGGTGCCTGCACGAACTGTGCAACGACTGGAAGCAAAGCCTCTGCCAGTGACGCTTGGTGAAAGCAATTGGCCAGGAGCTGCAGTGTCAGCATCATGCAAGGTCCTGGTCCTGGCCCTGTGCTGTCGACCTTGCAGAGGCTGGAGTCCAAGAGGAGTTCTAAAGCCTCTTGGGCCCCCGGCTCTGCGCCTCCACAGAGCTTCAGCCCAGCCAAACGACGACCCAAATCCAGAAATGGTACGCTCGACTTAGCGTCAGAGGCACGGATAATCTTAGCCAGGCCAGCTATGAGACGCGGCCTGGGTGCAGAGCCCTTCTGGCAAGTCCGACATAAAGTGTCCACCATCTCTGCTTCCGGGCTTTCGCAGCCATACATCTTTTGTACAGTGTCCACTGCGTTTTGGTGCATCTTCTCCGGGCTGTCACGGGGAAGGCAGATGTCAAGTTCGCTACGTAAAGCGTTCGGAAATCGCTCAGACAAGGCATCCAGCTTCTGCTCCGCCGATTTGGCCAAGCTCTTCGCTTTGTCCAGTGCAAACTTATGCAAAGCACCCGCCTTGACTTCCTGTGGGCTCAGCCGTGTCATCACGGAGCCGTCCGGCTGAAGTAGCCGAACTTCTGGCTCTCGCACGCCTGCCCATGCGGCGACATCCTTGCAGCTCAGGTCCACACATGCAAAAGCCATTCCAGCCGGTTGTGCCTCGGCCAGTTTTCGGACCGCCTCCTGCTGGGCCAAGTAGTGCGGAGCGTAGGCTCTCTGGAAGCTGCAAGCGATTACCAGATCAAGCGGACAACCTGCCAAAAGCGCCGCCGCATCCTCGGTGCTTTGCACGTCCCAAACAGAGGAGGCCGAGCCCTCGCCGGAGTCTGTGACTTGAGCAGTGCCAGCGAGCAAGTCGCTGGGAGTGAGCTGGTACCGATGCAGTGACTTCGACCTCGGGAACTTCGAGAACTTCGACTGGGCCTAACAAGGTTCAGAACAAAAGCCAAGCTGTCCGGCCAAGAGCACCAAGCAGCACAGGCCGCTCGCTCTGTGAAGGCACTGCTTCTTTGCGTCCGGGCTCGGCGACGTAGCCAGCCTGGGCACATTCTCTGCAAAGGTTCTCTGGGGTTGTAGAAGATAAGCACGTTTCCAGCTGGACTGCAGCAGCGCGAAAAAGTTTACCTGCAGGAGAGTACGAATAACCTGCAGCGCAGGAAACCCTGCAGAGGCACAACGGCAGGGGCAACCACCATGAGTATGGTCATCCGGCCTCCTGCCGCATGTGGGAGCTCTCGGACAAGAGCCGGCTTTGGCCCGACTGTCCTCCAGCACGCGGCCTTAGACAACGGAGCTTCCTTCAACAGTCAGCATGACATAGCAGTAGCAGGTCACTGAGACTTTGAGTTTGGAGCTTCACCGAAAAAGGGGTGCGAGGCTGGAGTATCACTGAAAAAAAGTCTGACATGGTCCATGTTGCGCCCGCCTGTGTCGACTTTTGATGTCGCTGGGCCCTCTAGGTGTTCTTAAACACTTCAAGAACACTCAACATATGGATGTTCTCCACCACGAACACCGCCAAGGCCTCGACCTGGAGAGTGCTAGCCGTCCACCAAGAAAAAGCCTCGGCAAAACAAGCCGATTAGAAAGGCAACAAGGTTGCATCTGCTACACATTCGTTATTCTCGTGGCAATCGTCTGTGCCACCTTGGCAGTCAATGTCGCCGGTGTCATCGCCCAGACTCGAAGTTGCTGGCAGTGTACACTTTTCTCCTGTTGTTGCTGGTGATGCGTTGGTGCTGGTACGGGCGGTTGTGCTCACGCTCACGATGGTACTGGTGTTGCGGCAGCTGTTGCTCTTGTGGGGGTCGCGGTGCTACTAGTGGTGTTGGCAGTGGGGTGTGATGGTGTTTTCGGTGGCGGCTTGTTCTTGCAGCTGGCCGTGGTAGCTGCTGCAAGCCTTGCGATTGTTACTGTTTGTGCTTGTGCCTGTGCCTCTGCTGCTGAATTTTCTTCTGTTTCTTCTTCTCCTCGGTGCTACTACTACTGCTGCTACTTCTGGTGGCCGCTTGCGCGGGCTGCTGCTTGTGCTGCGGCTGTTCCGATTGACACTTGCGCAGTCTACGAGAGGAGCTCGAGACTCTTTCTCGAACGTCTGCCAGGTTGCCAGGGACTAAGCGCGCCGCTGAAGATTCCAGAACCAAGCTTTTGTTTGTGCTTTTACTCGGGCTTGTCCAATGCGAAAAACGATATCCGTACCCAGTTCCAGCTTACAACCGGAAGGAGGCAGAGGATGGGTGCCGCTGCAAGCCTTCAGCTGAAGTTTATATTCAACAGTTTAGGGCGCAGAAAACATGATTGCTCCTGAGTCCGGATGGATGCTTCACGACGCCATGAAGACTCTGATGAGGCAAATCAAACAGCTGTAGCTTCAGACGGGGTACCGAACGAATGGCAAGTTTGGATCCCAAGTTGATACCTATTCAGTCAAGCGGCCCGAGAATCAGAATTGCAAGGGCAAGCAACGTGACGGAGTCAGCACCATCGTCGGTCATATGGCAAGTGAAGCAGGCCTAAATCGAAACCGAAACTCGTTCAGGTCCTGGTTCCCTGGGCGGGTTTATTCCAGCTCATGCATGGGGTCAAGGACTCTCATTAGAATATCATCTCATTGCCACAAGGCTGTTTAGCAAAAACACGCCTTGAGCCAGCAAAGCTGCGGTAACGATCCGAGGGGTGTCTCGCCTCATACATAGGTGGCATCTCCCTTACAGGCTTCCAGTTCCCACAAGAAAACAAAAAGAGCTCATCGGCGCCTTCAACTGCCGGAGTCCTCGGAGTCACTGCTTGAATTCTCCAGGGAGCCATCCGAAGCTTCGCGCTCTTCGGGAGATCTTCTCACGCCGTGTTCAAGCGCAATCTGCTCGAGGTGAAGGATTAGGCGACCTGCGTGCATACGTAAGTTGGGCAGCCACGAACTGCAGAACGGTTTGACCTGTCTATAGTCAGCACACCTCAATAGCATTAACATGTGGGAGACGTGGTAGTGCAGCTTCCCTGAGAGCCACGCAGAGAGTTTCGCGATCCTCTCGCTTTCTCCTCTTCTTGGTACTCTTCGTGTTGCCTCTTCCATGCCCGTGTCGCTCTAAGTGAAATCGGTCATAAGAGGCCGGTGTATCTGGTACTGGGGGAATGTACACCTTGGACTTCTCCAGTGCGGTCCATAAGGACTGCGCATCTTGGCGTAGGCTTCTAGGAGACTTCTTGCGAAGCTGCAGTTCATGCTTGTCCATGGATTGCTGAGGTTGCCAGCATTGCCTGGCGGGCGCAACCAAGGCTTCGCTTTCCGCCGTGCTCCGAGGCGCAGCAGCTGCAACGACTTCAGCTCTGGGCGCAACGTGCAGCACACCCACGACTCGCGGTCTCAGCCCCGATGCTTGTAATTGCCTTCTAGCATCTTCGAAAAGATCCTGTATCGCTTCGGCAATCTGATCTCGGCGCGTCTCTACTTTTCCACAACAACAGCGCTCCCCAACACACAAACTAGGCATTTCCTGGGGCAGTGGATCGTGCAGAGAGGTTGTCAAGTCCAGGACGTCCTCGGGGCGGAAGCCCAATTTCTCACTGGCCCGCTGCAGAGTCTGCGCTGCTGCGTGTGCCAGCATGTTCTCATCAATGGGTACGGAGAAAGCATGTGCCGATGCAGGGTGCTGGCATGTGCTCAACGTCAGAACCACACTCGCCTTTGCAACTGGGACCACGTGTGCCATAATCCAGGCTTCCAGCACAACAGACAGTGCCGGGCAGAACAGCGGACATTACGATAAGGGCATGTCCTGCGAGCAGACTATGAAGAGCAAGACTTGGTGCCTGAACTTGAGACTGACCGAAGTACGAACAAGTCGGGGCCAGCCCTTTGTCCAACAGTGTGGATGCCGGACATGAGGCGGTTCAGCAAAGACTCTTCGGCACCGATGTTGGTTCCCTTTTGGCTACGAGCACATGCATAAAGCCACTTTGGCCAGTGTTAACCATCAGGGAGCGAGACCTCATGCTGAAGTCCTACTTCATGAAACAAGAGGTCGAACGGTCTGAACGAGCACTTCGACTTCGTGATGTGCTTGCCTGATTTCGGGTTCAGCGCCGTGTGGAGGTGGATCCCAAGCAGTAGCTCACAAGTGCACTTGCATACAGACAGAAACTGGAATCCTGCAGTCAGCAGATGTCAGGGTCAGAACTTGAATGCTTCAGCATGGGTCTCTCTTCCCTTCTCGTGCAGGCAGACGTTGTCAACCGCGCGGGACACTTCAAGGACTGACAACAAAGAGAGCTGGAGGTGTGACTCTACCCTCTCCGAGGAACTACTTCGTCAAGATCATCGTGTCAAGTTGCTGAACGTCTGCTGCCCGAAGCCTGAAACTTTCGTGTTCAGGCATTTCAACTTGGGTGAGACAAAACTCGCGAAGCCCGAGGGCAAGCGGGTGTGCGGACTCGGGGTCAACTTGGGTTTGGTGGGGCCGGGAAGGGTGAGACTGAGAATCTGAAAATCCCTGTCCCCTTACGCCTCGTCTTTTCGACACCAGGGGCCAAGGCCACAGACTATGCCTGAACTGATCGTTGCACACTCTACGAGTACCTGCCTTGACCCAAGCTTGTTTACACAATGGCTCGCAGACGGGGAACAGGGGACAGGTCACAGGGCGGCACAGCGCCCGAGCGGAGCACGGCTCATCGAACGGACCTTGGCCAAAAGCGGTGCCGCATGTTGCTGCTTGAAGCACGCGCTGCATGCCGCCCGCAAGGCAACACATCGCGATCCCGAAACTTGAATCCAGTGAACCTGTCGGCGACGTATCTGAGCCACAGGCATGAAAAAAACACGCTATCCGTCAGCCTGTCCTGAAGAGCGAAGGTGATGAAGGGCTGCAGAAGACACTGACGAATGAACCATCACTACTCGTCTCTATTCGAAGCACCCTGATGTACTGCAGGTCTTTCTACAGAAGCTCCTGTGCCGCTGTCAATGAACATGCCAACAGACCGGTGCGAATGACCAGGGCCACAGTTCAAGACCCGCCCCACCTTCGTCCATGTCTTCACCTTCCTCCATGGCAAGCCTGACACTGCTGGGGCGAACTTCGATGAGGAGACAGCGGGGTGGTCGACACTTCAACAGCAAAACCACCTACCGAAATGTTCAACCCGCGTCCAAAGCGATCACCCACATCGTCAGATCCAGCTCACTGACAGAGGTTCCCCAACGCTTCGGCCTTCATTCACCCCAAAAACTGCGTTCGAAATACAGCAACTCCCGCGCAAAGACCAGGTGGCGTTCGAGAATACTAGTCTACTGACAACTGTGCAACAGCCGCAAGCCCTGAGCTTATGGGCCTAAGGTACTGATCCGCACACCACCGGTGCCAGCTCGTGGAGTTCGGATTCTCCATCTGCTCCTGCACAACAGGTTCGGGTCTTGGTGCTAGCCGCCTTAGCCTCTCAGACTGTTGAGTCCTGCTTGGCTTGGAACGGATCTCTGTTCTCGAAGGCCATGAACTTGTTTAGTGACCTCGGCGCGGGAGGATCTGCACATCTATCATTAGTAATTAGGTACTAATCGCAACCTGCTCTCGGAAAAGCACAGAGCTCCTGCACTACTTTGTTTGCAAACTGCTCCGCAGCTCTTTATGTCACATCGGAGCCTCGGCTCTACGAGACCAGGCATTGCTGGTTTCCTTGGTCGTCCCTTGAAGCGGCTGCGGCTGTCGCACCCGCCTTCGCAGCCGCCTTTCCCTTAGGCTGGACCCGGGGCGCCGGCTTGAAGTGCTCTTTCAAGGCCACCCCCTGGCAGGCGAGCTCCGTCTCTTTGCCAACGCCACCGCCCTCCGATGGCCGCGTCGCAATAATTTTGAAGCGCAGGTCCCGGATTTGCAGTGTTTCGCCTGTACGGACGGCTGCCGAACGTTGAGCGAAGTAGGGCCGCACATAGTCCCGCAAAAGGCCGGCTTCGTCCAGGGACAGCTTGTTCGGCCGGTACTTATCTGGCAGGCCTTCTTCGAAAGGAATCAACTGCAAACGTTCCAGAACCTTCCGCTCGATCTCCGGCCCTTCATAAAAGATCTCTGTACTGTGTCCCACAACTCCGTACGAGTCCTCCGGCTGCACTCCCACGACTTGAAACCTCACGGAATCGTAGGAAAATTCGAAACCCTTGGTGAACTCTCCAACTTGCTGCGTCTGAAAGTACGGAACGATGTGATTGTGGTACATGTGGTCGAAGTTGTACTTGAAGGTGTCCTTCATCGCAGACTAAGTACCTACTGTGCCGTGTGCGCATCCAAGGAGGAACATTACCCTTACTGAGGAGATCCTTGTAGGGCAAGACGTGAATCTTTTGAAAGACGCTGAGAACCTGATGGCCAGGCTTCCCGAGCGTTAACATCATGGCTTGACCCGAATCTCTTGGCGCATCAACAAACCAGAAATCTGGTTCGGGAAAAACAGCCCAAGCTGGCAAGCCAGCCTGATCTGCCAAGATGATCTCTGTCTTTGCCCCAAAGCGTCCGCCAGCCGGAGGCTCACAGGCGCCAACGACGAGCTCGGCACCCGTGCTTTCCAAACGCAGGCCTGCCAGATGCATGGGAGAGCGGGTGTCTGTGTGTTGGGTTGGATGCGGTTGGGGGGTTGGGGGAAACTTGGGAGGGCGAAATCAAGGCCTAGAATGCCACGAGGTTGCTGCATATTTGGGGTTGGATGCGTGAGACGTAGAGCTGCCATCGGCCCGGTCCTATCAGCCCAAGCGGGTTTGGGGGAAGTTCATTGAGAGCCAGTTAGAAAGGGAGTCAGACACAAACACGGTGACGGTACCGCCTGTGTGGAGGTCGTCCTCAAAGTCCCGAAGCCTAGGCCAATGCAACGAGGAGCTTGTCGCCCCAGCGTCAAGGTGGAGATACTAACGAATATGTGCACAGGCTACGTCGGTGCCAAGTCGGTGCTTGGGTCCGTTGAGCCCAGACCTCCGAAGCCCTGCACCACTGCCGATGTCACAGAAGTTCAGTGGGCACTGCTTTCAGGTCCCCGAACTACCATGCTGGAGCTGACTGGCTGATCGATGGTCGAAGGAACACCCAAGTGGAGCGATTGCGTCGGCATTATATCAATAATTCGGACATTGCATGTGTAACTATGATCACATGCAGTCATGCAGGACCATGGTTCACCAAGGGGCGCAGACCGTACGGCTTCCGCAGCGTTCCTGGGCTCATGTCTGCGCGCAACCGGCGATTCAAACCGGCGGTTTCTTTGCGATTCTTTGGGGTGTCGCAGGGCGTCGGAGGGTAGGGTCCATGTTCCTCCTAAAATGCCTGCAGCAATGTGTTAAGCAAGCGTCTCGACCCTCCCAATTTCGAGAAGTCGTCTGCAATAGGAAGACACGGAACTTGAACGATTTTGCTAGAACAAACAGGCTAATACAAAAGCTGGTTGAAACCTCGAGCAATCTGAACTGTAGCCATCCAGGAAACGGCTGGCTCGCAAGACCGTGCACCGTGACGCGTCGAAGCATGGCGCACGAGGGTGTGTCCGAAAAGGACGCTCTGAAGGGTCAACAAGATGCTTTCACTGGAGTTCTGAGTACATGCTCGGGATGTCGGCAAGATGCTTGCTTGCCGCGCGGCTCGATCATGAGACATGGCCTTCAACGAACCCCATGACTCCTAGTATTTTGCTTGTGGAACTCTACCTGTGCTATGAATTCAGGGAAGCTGACAGTTTACGGAGCATCGGTCACAGGATGGGTTGACTGCTAGCTGCTGCCTGGGCCATGTGCGCTCAGCGCAGCTTCGCACCAATTTCAAGCAGAGGTGGCAACGGTGGATCAAAACGGTTCGCCTGCAGTTCTCCTTCACGAGATGGACGCAAGGCCCCAAAGAGGAGAAACTCACTGCAAACAACATCCAAGAATCGGGTGTGCTCCCTGTCGTCACCGTAGTCGTAGTCGTGCCGTTGTAGTAGTACAAGGCAGCAGCAGCACCACCACCACCACCACCACCACTACCACCAGCATCAGCGCAACAACAACTTCAGCTACTACTGCTGCTGCTACTGCTACTACTACTACTACTACTACTACTACTACTACTACTGCTACTGCTACCACCACCAGGAGTAGAAGTAGTTGTTACTGTTGGTGTTCGTAGCAGCAATAGCAGTAGCAGTGGCAGTGCCAGAAGTAATTAGTCTTCGTCGTCGTCCTCGTGATCAGCGTCGTCGTGGTGGTGGCATGTGGTGGCAGCGGTAGCAGTGGTGGTAGTGGTAGTAGTGGTCACCCAGTAAGACGGCGATAACAGTAAGGGCCACAATGATAGCGCTGCTGCGGGCAACACGAATACTTGCACGCAGGGCAATAGTGACGGCAACAACGTGGCTGCACCATCGTCGGAAATTACTGACTCGCCTGATGACTCTCCTGGTTGTGGCATGATCCTTGAGACTGTCCAGTGTCTAAATGATTGCTCGAGTCCTCTAATGATTTTGCAATCCTTTGAACATGTCGAATAACGACGCCTGCAATTACAGCAGTTCTGCACTAGACTTGCTTTCGAAATGACTAACATAGCCTGAAAATAGCTAAGCCATGGGGCCATGAATTTGCAGTGCATCATGAACATGGCAGGATTATTGAACTGCCTATATCAAGGCACTTCCATTGCCAGGGTCCCGACGTAAAAATCGAAAAGAAAGAGCCGGCGAATTTGCGCTTGCGCTTGAAGTCCGCGAGCCGGAACCTGACATGACACATCTTCCCTCAAGTACAGGGCGTCACGCACAATAACCTACGTCCTACGTGTGTGCTTCGTTTTAAGAGTTGATCACGCCCGGTCTGCTGGGACCCCTGCTCTCCAGCAACTCTCGGGCAGATCATGTCATGCAGCTGGCACCTCCATGGCGAACAGCTCCAAACAAAGCTCATCGCAAGGAAGTGGCAGGTACCCAAGACCAAGTTCGGGACAAGACATCGCAAAACGCGATGGTTTCGTAGTTCAGGCACCTCGAAAGGTTGACCAAACTTGCTACGATCCCGGCCAGGCAACACTTGGCGTCTGACTCCATGCGCTGCACTTGCTCCTCGTAGAAGAACTTCCTCGCGGTGCTGGCTTCGGACAAGACATGTGGCTCGTGACACGAACGACCTCTGGTCCAGAGTCGCGGACACAGGCAAACAAGAATGTGTCTGAATGCCTTTGTCAGATGGTGGAGCAGTCAGAATTCAACAAGGTGAACTGTGAACCTTCTGAGCAAGCGTATTGCAAACTCATCTGGCCCGCGTCGAATTTGAAAATCAGGAGTGGTCACATCGCCAAACACTGCAGGCTGCACAGAACTTAGGATAGACGAGCTTGCCAGTTACATCATTACCAAGAACAAACAATCATACACCCAGCTCGCCACAACCTGATCTGACTGGGCCGTCTCACTGTGCTCTGCCTGCACGCCACCGCAGGGTTCGGGCATGCAGGTGCCAGGAACGTTCGCGAAACCACGTCACAATGCGCCTTCAGCGGACTCAGCCCGACTTGAAGAGGAGGATAGCCACCTGACCTCGGTCGGCAACCACTACCGACTACCGGAGCGAAGCAAGCTCAGAAACAAATAGTGGTAACATCTGATGCCGAGGCATCGAGATTTGCAGGGTTGATGAGGTCTTTGGGAGAGTCTTCTGGTAGGGCCCCTTCACAGTGACATTTTAAACCCGGCTGTGGTCCGAGCATCGCAGCTAAGTCCACGGCCCAGATAAAAGTAGATGAAGTGCTTGGTCTCGTGCGTGACCTGAGCTTCCGTGCTCCAGCTTCTCTCGGAAGCTCTCGGTCACAATAAAGACAGTGCAGATACCAGAAAAGTTCAGGCACAATCTGCGGAGGCGCTTAAAAGGCAACATGAAAGAGATGGGCATCATCGGCTGCTTTACGTGTGTCTTGGTATCTCCAAGCAAGTCCGATGGTGTGTCTGTGTGCGCCTTCTACGACTGCGGACGTGTCACGTATGAGCCGAAGTTGCGTCCGACAACTGCATGCCAGGTCGGGTTGTACTTCTTGTCAAACTCCTGCGCGAGCAGGCACCACGAACTGGCAGGCGCATGAAACTGGTCAATGGCGTTGGGTGGGCTTGAGTTGTAAACCGTGGACTCGCAGGCAGGAGACGGAGCAAATAAAGTTTTGTGGTCCTTCTTGATGAAAGCAGCGATGTCCTTCTCAATGTTATACTTCTCCAGGGCCTCGCAGAAAACTATCTTGAGGACTTGTCTTGCAAGCGCAGAGCCGGCTGCATGCACGGGATCCGATGCAGCGAAGACTTACAAGCAAGCGAGGTCTGTCCTGAGTGGCACAGTCGATGGCATCCTGTTGCATATCCTCGGCCATGTCAGCGTTCTTGATCACTGCCTTTCCAGAAGAGGGCTGCTGGGCTGGACGGAACGATGCCGAAGGTACAGGTTGTCCCGGCCCATGCTACATTGCCCTTGACATTTGCCGGTTTTGCCTGCGCGTAGAAAACTGTGGGTGCACACATGACAAGAAAGCAGAGGGAATGCCAGTGCGCGCATGTGCATGCAATCTGCGCTCGCTGCAGCGATACCGAATGATCCGATAGATCGAATTCACACGCACATCACAAGCGCAGGTTGCTAGGAACACCGTCCACAGCCTTGCGGTCTGCCATGGCACACGCGCTGTGAAAGGCGAGAAGGCCACGGGGTTCTAGCTGAACTCACTGCTGCAAGGCCCAAAGATGGCTGGTGTGAAGACATGAAGGTGTGGGCTCACTGCTTGCAAGCTAGCATCAGGTTGCAGTGGGCATCTTTGCCACAAATTTCCATGAATACATTAGAGGTACATGACATACGCAATTGTCTGGAGACAGAGCGAGTAGACGGTCCTAGTCCAAAAACTCTCACGCTCCCAAGTACGGCTGACACCCTAGCAAGCCGCCAGCCGGCAAAAGTCAAGTCCCCGAGACCCGAGGCCGGAAACTCATGCAGAACACTCGCGCAAGCCGTGGGGGCCCCACAGCTCATAGTCCCGAACGACACCATCTGCCTCAAGCCGCGAGAGGCCGCTGCCGACTAAGCCCCTCAAATTTTCATGCCAATAATTCTGTGCGCCGGGCATCCAAGTCAAAGATGTTAAACCAAAACTCGATTGATCTGTCCTGGCTGGCTGGAAATGTGCAACCCGCCAGAGTGTGGGAGCTTGCTCAGCTTTGGTTCGTACATACATGGAATTCAGGCCCTGGCGGTTATCTGATCCTGGTCATTCAAGAGGAAGTGGATGAAATCCTGCGGTGCTCCCAGGTTCGTCAATCTGGATTGGCTCGGTACTTTACTCAATCTCCGCCCTTTTCATCCGTGCCTCGTAGCCCATCTTGCCGGGAACAGCCGACGTGAACCTAAGCACCGAGATGCCCAGCAACTGCAACCTTCTACAGCAGCGGCCACACCTGTCAGGAAGGACCCGACCGCCATGTCACCTCGCTGAAGATCCGGTCCACTGTTCTTCTAGACAGCGCGTGCCTGGCACGACAACTGATTACACAAGTACCTAGTCACATTTTGTGACAGGCCAGGAGGTCCCGTCATACTTCAGGAGGTCGTCCTTGTCTAAGAGGAAGTCGTGGTCGGAGTCCAGCTCCCAGAACGTGCCTTGCAGCTTTGAAGGCGTTTAGTAGCAGCTTCTCTGCTTCCTTCCTTACGAGTTCCGGGCAGTAGATCACATAGAAGTGCTCATAGCTGAAATAGTCGCGTATCATCTTCATGTCATCGTAGTCCTGCTTCAAGCCGCCACAGGAAAGCATCTTGCAATGCTTTGGACTGCACCACAAGACGAGCTGCTTTCCATCACCCACCTCTAGCTGCTTCCATGTCTCCACGATGGACGGCTGATACCGCCGCAGATCTGCAGTCAATTGCCATGACGACAGCACTACCGTCAAACCATCCCCACAGCTACCTCCCGACTCAAACGACTTTTCTCGAATGCAAGCCAGCTTTAGCAGCCACAGCACATGCACTCTCCAAGGCTCGCAGGGAAGCAAGCACGACTGTTCCGCTTCTCAGCTACGCCATCAGCTTCTGCCGTAAGGCCCAAGCTTTGCAGATAGATTCTGCCCGTCCCCTTCCTATCCTTAAGGCGTGCACAGCTTCTGTCAAAACAAAGTCTGCTACAGCAGGAACTCGCAGCAGCAGTTGCAGCTGTAGCGTCGTAAATGTAGAAGATTCGGCTGGTGACCTGCATCGCTCAAGTCTTGTTCAAGCTGTCTTCTTGTAACTCCTATTCTTACGGCACGGAGATCTGAGATCATGGCCGTATCGGCATATCTATCTTGGAACTCCTCGGGCTGCGCACTTCACCAGCTGTGACCAGACCAGGGTCTTCCAAAACCGGCTTCGAATTCAGGAATACTTCCGCAGATGTATGCGAATCCGGCTGTTGCATTAACTAAGTGATCCGGCCAGGCGATAGGTACACAAGTACACCAACTAGAGCAAGACATGAGACCACGGCCCCACGGCCTGTGTATCCAGCAGGAAGTCTAAGCCTGGATGGGTCATCAAGATAGCATGCAGGAAGACGTCGAAGTCCTCAGGGCATTGGCAAACAAAGCTCACGGGCTGCGGCCGAACGAAACCGTGATGATTCTTCTCCCGCCGACAGCATCGGCAATTCTCAGACTCTTGCGGCGTTCGCTGCCTGAAATGTAAACTAGTAAACTGCCGACTTGCCTCCTTCTCGATCCAGTCATTGTGGTCCTGCGCCATGCTTCAAGCAACAGCTGGGGCCTGCAGCCTCGGCCTTTCATATGAAATCCTAGGGACCAGACTCCCTGCCAGGCCTTCTTGACCACTGAGAAGAAGCTCAGGGTCGGATCATCAGGCTGGATTTTCCGGTTCGCCCAACCAACCACCCTGGCACCCACAGCATCGGATCAAGCGATTTAACACACATGAGCGTGTTGGCCCCACATCCTTCTGTCAGGTGGTCAATTTGGCCAAGAGGCATCATTTCTGTGATCGGCACGGGCGTAGGCACCATCATGGCCTCGGGCTCGGGACCGTTGCTGCTATTCGTTCTGTTCAACTGTGACTAGGTCATCCATGGAAGGGCAAACGAGGCTGAAACATCGCGCTTGGAAATTGCGCTGCGGTCAACGATGTCATAGAAGGCCTGCCACCACAAAACACTCAGCAAAAGGCAGAAAGCCAAGAGCACAGAGATATGCTTCCAGTCCAGCTGTTACAAAAGCAATGGCTCAAGTCCAGACATCGTGCCTTCATCTTGTGGAAAATAGGGGCCTCAACGTAGGGGAGCAGCAGAGCTGGGGCAAAGCTTCTGGAAGATTGTCCGTTGCACGACAGCTGCGAAAGAGATGGTCTCCGAGTGGCGGCAAAATACTTCGACAGCTTGAAGACATCAGTCACAATCTGCTCGCACTGCTCCCAGTTCCTTCGTCCGCAATAGCTCGAGTCAGCCTAAAGCTGTAGGCGTGTATAAGCAGCAATACCAAGCGGGCACAAGCAGTCTTTAGCCCGTCGGTGATGCCCTGCTTCACGAATATGTCGTGAATCTGGTCTTTGTACTCCTGGCCCTTGGCAATGATGGGTTTGCACCGTACATCTAAGCAGAGCGACTGCAGCAGCCATGCAGTCTCTGAGCGGCACACAAGCTCGGAGATTTGATCGCGCTTGGGCCACCAGAAACGAGGGATGGTCTCACACAGATCGCAGTGGCTTAGCCCAACCCGTGCGACTTCCAACGGCAGACGCGAGCTGCTTGCAAGTTAAGCGGTAAGAGAAATCGAGAAAGCAGACAATTTGTTGAGATCGCGCGCCTTGGCATTCGTTGCAATCATCGAATTCTTGACGCCTGCAGACTGCCACCGATGCAGCTTTCAAGGCGACTTCTGACTTCAGTGTCTTCAAAAGCAGCAGTAGAACCTCCAGAATCTGGACATGTACTGCTCAGAAATTCTAGAATAGCATTAGCTATAAAGAGCATGCGAACCAAATCCATGGCAAACTCCTGCATGTTCTGGCCGAAGCAAGGTGCAATTTTGGTGCAATGTTGCCACTGCATCGACCAGGTGTCAGGTAAATAGCACCAGAGCCTGTTGGCCCACTGCCGGGGCTGATCGGATGCTCCGGCCTCGCGATCGAAGCATGGATCTTGATATGTCGGCCTTCTGGGCTTCTGGAACCGTTGTCAACTACCCCTGCTGCCACTTTGAAAAGCCATGTAGCTGGTCTTCTGTGGCTGAAACCCATTTCGGAGTGAGCCGTTTATCCTGCATTTCAGGGTGAGAAGTAAGCCTGCCGGGAGGAGACTTTACCGGTTTGCATCCCACCAGCGAGAGTGTAACGCACCCCTCGTCCGACGAAGCACGGAGATGCTGAGGTGAGTGCGGAGGCGACAGCACATCCGTCTCCTGTCAGATGAGTCTCGGCGAGCAGGCTGAGCGCAGTCGGAGAACGTTAGGTTGAGTTTCAAGGACGGCATGGTTAGCTCGGCATCCTGCCAAGGAGACGCAAACCAAGCAGTCCAAACACTAACTAGTGGCACTCACACAGATGTCGAGGATGGCCCAGATGAATGCAAAAATCTTCCGCCTCGCCACTTGGAGTTTTCTTATGAAACAGAGTCGCGACGCAGATCACAAGCCTAGAGGTCAGTAGATGGCGGATAGCCGAGGGAGGGAATCTGATACCGGACACGCAAGCACAGAAGGACGTGCAGTACGCTCTAATGGTACGCTGCCGAATGCAACCGCAGCACGGTAAAGTCTGAGTAGAGCTATACATGGTAAGTCACAGAACACGAAGTATCGGAGCAGAGGACAACATCACGCATGTAACGCATGTAATCAGCCAGCCAAGATAAATGATTATGACGACGTGCAACGAGGCATGAATACTGAACGCTGAAAGATGCGTAAACACGCATATCTCATGCATAGTATGGTACAGCTATCCACAGATTACATGAGACAGACAGACGTGTTTGCACATGCTTGGTTATGTATGTGTCTCTAGCTAGAGTTTTCCGGCTCGCCAGTTGTCAAAAGTAACGCAGCATACGCTAGCAGAACACGTCCTTAACAGCAATATTGCAGTTCGATGCAGTTCGACTGTGCAGTAAGAATCACACTACTTAGTGAGTGCTCGTCCTCGTCGTTGCAACCCACAAACAAGTGATAAGTTGGGAAGTTCTGGCTGCGAATCGCTTCTCCATCGCCGCGTTCAGAGTCCTTGATCTAAAACTCGCACAATAACAGCAGTGACTCAGTAGTGCCAAGAGGTGCAGAGTGCAGGACCAATCTGCTTGCCGATAACAAACCACACCAGCAACATCGTCAACAACATCCCTGGAATTCACACTCACTTTGCATGATGTACAAGACCCAGTGAGCAGCGACGCTGTTTACTCTCAACTTGTCGGCTCCGTAATTTTTGCAAGCTTTTATTAAAGGGAAAGAGGCACACGTCTGCCCGCTCCAAGCTCGGAACATTAAAAAGTGATGTTCTGAGCCGGCTCATAGGCATCGTGATCTGTGAAATTGTGCTTTTGCTTGGGGGGCTCACACCGTTGCATGTGCCCATCAAACTCCACCACGCAAGCATGCTGCCATGCTTCGCCAGAAAGCATGCAACATCTGTACAAGTCTGCGAGCTAGCAGCACTGCCACGGGTGGGAAGCTCGACCCTTCATGCATGAGGCAGCGCACCACTTCATGGTCACTGCGATCGATCGCACGTTCCAGCGCGGTGCAGCCCAGCGAATCCATTGTGTGCTTGTGAGCACGGTTACGCAGCAACCAGCGCACCACATCCAGGCGGCAACCTATGCATGCAAGATGCAACGGCGTTCTGCCCATGTTGTCAACTTTGTTTATGTCGTCACCAGCCTCCACCAATTGAATTACAACATTCGTCCGACCAGTGAGACAGCAAAAGTGTAACGGCGGCAAGCCGTTTAAGTGGCCTGGGTTGTTTAAGTTGGTACCTGCTCTGACCAGGCAACTGACGATGCTGGCATGATCTTGCACGCAAGCCAGGCTCAAAGGGGTTTCCCCATCATTGGCGGCCGTGTCTAGGTCGGAAGTCTTGGCCGCAAGAAGACGCACCACCTCCAAGCGACCACCTAAGCAAGCCAGGTGCAGGGGCGTGTTACCCTGCTGGTCGATCTTGTTGCTGTTGTCGCCGGCATCTAGCAAGGAGGCGACGATGTCTGCGTGGCCCGCGAAAGAAGCCATGTGCAGAGCGGATCTTCGCTGTGTGCTTGTCTGATCCGTGTCAGCACCTGTGGCAAGTAAAATCTCGACCACCTCCACATGCCCGAACGTGCACGCCAGCAACAACGCCGTCCCCTCCCCGCTGGCTAAGTTTATGTTCGCACCAGATGACACAAGCAAGCGCACAGCTTCGATTTGTCCACCTGCTGCTGCAACATGCAAGGGCGCCAAGGCGTTTGCATAAAGTCGGTCTTTGTCTGCCCCAGCTTCCAAAAGCAACTGCGCAACTTTCAAACTCCCACATCCACAGGCGAGACTCAAGGAGCTACTGCCACGAAGCGGCAAGTCGGGGTCCAAGGGGCAATGCAAGAAAGCCTCCACAGCTTCCACGTCATCACACTCTATAGCCGTGGCCAACTCCTCAAGCTCCTCGTCTGTAGGAGGTCGGAAGCTCAGGATTACAAGTTGCAAGCAATCTCCCCACTGCAATACGCTCTCGTTGGACAAGAGGCAGCTTCCACGTAGCAGCTTTTGCACAAATCTGCGGTGACCAGTTACACCATGCAGATACCTCTTCAGTGTCTGCACAGTCCCGCCATCTGCGTGCAACTGCTCGAACTCAGTGATCGACAAATCTACTGCACACTTGCCAGAGGCCAGGCCAATGTGCATGTATAAATAGCAGCCCGCGACCACCTACTGGCTCCACGCTATCACTCTACGGGGTGAAAGTGCTTGGCATGGCTTCGGTTCATCAACCCCGAGTTGCTGAAACTCGACAGTCAGAACTCAGCATGGAAATCTTAAGACACTCTCCAAAAGAAGCCGCTTCCGGGATGTGGTTAGTGCCGCACAGGAATGAGCTGTTGAAACATGGAAAGCCCCTTCAAACACCCTCGAACAGCTGATGCCTTGGGCGGTGGAGGTCCTGGCACCTGAGTAATCCGGACACTACACAAGCCTGCGTGACTCCTTGCGGCATAGTAAGAATCGGAGCAAGCGAAACCTTCTCTCGCTTCTTACAGATGACTGAGGCGGTGGCAGGACTCACAGGAGGACTGTGCCTCATCGAGCACATTTTGGGATGTCTGGGCGGGTCCGACGGCGTGGCGGCTATTCCTTCCCTGCCCTTCATTTAGACCTCAAGCCCAGGATGCTACCTACACATACACACCTCAGCAAAGCTCCGCTTACGACGACGGACCATGGGGATTCCCGGCTCTGAGCCATCTGGACACTTGTAAAGAGTGATCACAGAAGAGTAGCATCTGAGCGGACAACCCTGGTGATGACGGCTGGAAGTGGCTGGAAGGCTCCGCGTCGCCTCTGCTAGAGAATTTCAATAGGCGAGGGCAGCTGCGTCAGGCAAGCTCTGGCCTTCTCTGCTAAAGCCGACATTTGTCCGATGAGGAGATCCAGGTGGCGACGGCCTGACCAAAATGCGAGAGCCTAGTATTCTTTCACGTCGCTGGAGTTTCTGCCATCGAACCGAACTTCAACAGGTCTGGTGTTACTGGTGTCTTCGAGAGCTGAAGCCCAAACCGACCGGCTCCGGAGTGCTAAACGTTGAGGATTGCTGAGACTAGGACTTATAGCTGTCTGCATCAATCCCGTTTCAAGCCCACTGTGCCTGCCGCCGACGGGGGATCCACGGATGTGGAGCTGATGGGGACTTGAGCTCACCTGTGGCACCTGGCAAGGCATGTCTCCTTTCGAGATTTTTCATGCCTCGTCGGGCTTTTGGAGGCTCCCAGCAGGTGCTCTCTTTTTCTCGCATGCAGGTGTGGAATCGGCCCAGAACTTCGCCTTGTGGCCCCCCACACATGCGGCTCAGGATCAGCGGAGCCAACTGGATGCGATCCCAGGGGCTTCGGTAAAGCTGCTCATCTTGGCACAGTAGTCATGATGAGTTGGCAGGTTGTCAACCTTCCCCTCTAAGCAGAACGTATGCAAGTGCAGCCATCTGACACTCACATGCTGAGGAGCATGTATACATTGCCAGACTGGGCCACTATGTCCTTTCCCTTCGTACAATCGGAAACCGCTCTGGAGCATTTGCACAAGGGTCTCGAAACCGCCCGGAGTCTTCGCAAGGGCCGAGATATCCCGGACGTATGATCGAGGCACTGTGAGGACGGGACCTATGGTGCATCCCTGTGCCCGGATGCGATTGTTGAAGCTGGCCACTCCACTTGTTGCATATCCACCACAACCCGGGTTTGACGCGCGGTGGCAAAAGGCCATTTCACCACAGTGCTTGCAGTACTCCTTTGGATAAGAGATCATTGGCATCCCGGCTTGCTTGGTAGAGTCGGCATCAGATGACAGGTCCACAACATCTGCAGTTGAGCTGTCCAGGCCCAGGCCAAGCTCAAGCTCTGAGCTCTGCGAGTCCACGGAATCTTGCTCCCCGTCTCGACTTTGACCTTTGACTCTGAGCTGCCGCAAGGATAAGGCAGCCTCTTCTTCGAGGCAGCCGATGTCGTCGGCCTCCGCCACTACCGCCCTCCTTGGCCAAGAATAGGCAGGCGAGTCAGCAGAGCGCATGTCAGCGGAGTGCAGTATGTGACTGACTGACCCTGACCCCTGCTTGCCAGCAACTGAGGCGGTGGCAGGCAAGCCATGGCCCAAACCACACACGACATCTCGAGCGCTTTAAGCATGGCAACTCTGTGGGTTGAGAGCTGCTCAAAAGAAAACAGGAGACCGTAAGACTGCTCGAGCCAACGGCCGCGCGAAGCCTCCGCATTCTAGTTTATCCAATTGCTTGCTTCGCTAACGGTGCATGTAGAGCTGAGCAGACACGATGTCCGTTGCTCCCCTATGTGTGCGAGCGTCTCTCTCATCGGAAAGTACAGCTATGCCCGGACTATCTTGTCTGAATCGGCTCAACCCACGGGCTGCACTAGCTGGGCAAAGCAAGCCGAGTTCTCCTGTCCGCGGCCGGGGCTGCAGCAAGCAGCCCGTAGAAAACTTACCCATAACTCGAACTACGCGCCTCTGCCGTGGGATCCTCTGCATTGTGGATGATCTGCCGTAGGAGCTGCATGGACTCCGGCTGCATGAGCCTGATCGGGTGGGACTGTTCCAACATGTAGCACTGCAGAGGCTTGACCTGTCTCTGCCGACCTCACAGGCACTACTTCGAGCCAAGCCGTCATCCCTCATCCCGAGAAAGTCGCTCTCCCACGCTTCAGAATGAAACGCTTTGGCGCGTGCCATTCCCAGAAGAATTCGTCCAGCTTCGCATTGACCAGTCCACATCCCTGCGGCGCAGAGTCACTGATGCAACTAACTATGCCTAACTTTGCCAAAGCATGACGACTCGCTCCGAAAATGTTCAGTTCCTCGCCTGCGCAGAAACCATGGCAGGCGAGGAACGGCAATGTTAAGGACACTCTGTGCCAGGTCTTCGCGGCTGGAACACTCCACGTGGTACATAGCTTGGAGAGGCTTGCGATCGTGAAGTGGCTGTGGGCTGTGCTGTGAAGTTGGTTGCTTTTCCAGCTCAGCTCATGGTAGTCTCTTTGCCTTGGTGCCTCCACCTCGGCTGCTGTGCTTAGAGCCTGGCAAACCAAGGTGCAACCATTCTGCTCTCCCATACTACTGTCAACTGCATCTTCGAATCAGCTGCTCAAAGTCGCAGAGCTCGAGAGTCAGCCTCTCTGCCTGTGACGGAGGGCGTAAAACCGTGCCACGTCAAAGGCCTCCTGGTCCTGAGCACTGAAGCCTAGGGACCTCTGCCGACTAGCGATCCCTTGCATCTGCTGCCTTGTTCCATGTAGGGCCTGTTCACAAGCGGCCGGTAATAAGCAGTTTGCCCGGCCTACGGCAAACTCTGCCACGCTTCGAGCGCGGCTGACTTCCAGTGGCCTTCTCCCACTGGATCCGAAGCTCGCCCTCTGCCCGTAACTTTCGGAAGCAAACCATACCTATGACATCTGGCTCCGTGTGACATGAACCAGGTAACATTCCACGAAGGGCTCAGCTTCATCAAATCGCGGCTAACCCGATTCCTGTCAATGGATGCACTGCCAATGCACTCAGGAGAGGTGAGGACCTCGATTCTTACGGGCTGCTGAACCCGAAAAGCTTAGGATTTCGTTGAATCTGATTTCCAAGGTTTTGGGTGGCACTGACAACTTCGAAGCCAAAGCAAGCTCCGAGTGTCTTCGCAAAGGAACATAAAGGAACGGTCCATGACACTGCTGGTTATCGGATGCTAATAGCCGCTGGCAACTTCCTGGGTTCCTGAGCCTGGGTGCTGGCTGGCATGACATATTGAGCTTTATAGCTGAGCTGTTGCTGGACTTTCATCCTCCCATCGCACGTCTCAAGCGACTCCACCGGTCTACGCCCTAGCACATTCTACAGGTCCTACAAGTCGGAGTGCAGCAGAATCACTTTCAGCCTGCTTTCAGCATTTTCGCCCTGCCGGTTCGGAACTCAGCTCCCGAGCCCTTTTTGCTTCGTGCTCGTGTCGGCGCATGTCAATTGCGCTACACGGTGTTGTCTTTGGAAAGAGCGAGGCGGCTCACATGGCAAGTGGTCGCACATCTATGAACTCAATCCGGCAGCTCTGAGAGATCAGAGATCGCACTGCCGAGCCCTGGCTCTTGTGGGTCCCTGGGCTAAGACCACGACTTCTCTGCAGTTAGAATCACACATATCCTTTGTGCCAGAGCTCTTACGTCTCTCCCTGTCCTCGCTAACTTTGGCAATCCAGCAGGGCTGCAACCGGCACGATCCCATGATGCGCGGCATGAGGGCTACTTTGCTTCGGAGCTCACTCGAAGAATGCCCTGCCTCGCTTGTGAAGACTCTGCAAGTTAAGCAGCGCATGCAGTGTACCAAAGTGTACCACTTTCCCATCACCGATTGAGGCCCTTCTAGTGGGCAAAGCAAAGGTGTCGATGGCGAAACTTCCAAACTCACCTGGTCACCTCACCCACGTTCGCCGTTGGACCTAAAGAGTCCTGGTGCGTAACCTCGTTAATAATAATACCCTTCTGTCAGCCCACTTGCATCACAGCCACAGGAGGTCGGCACGCAAGTGCTCACAGTCTTCTAGGCCGATTGATACACGGAGCAACCTCGGCATGCATGCAAGCAGTGCTCTTCGCCTTAAACTGTACATTCCCCTCTGCCTGCATTGGGTGTGTTGCATAAACCATGCTTTCAGCACTTCGTCCCATTCTCTTCTGGTGCAAGCAACGAGTAACAACGTGATTGCTACCTACATGTGCGGTTGCAAATCATGAACTCGCATCTTCGCTGTTTAGCCCAGCATCAGAGGAGAGATGGCCGGATCCCAGCGCCGTCTCCACTCGATGAGGCTTTCCTGGATGAATTCACTTCATGCTGTGTGGCAGATTCTGGCCTTTGGTTAGTGTTCCAAGGCTGAGTGGCAACGCCGCCGAGAGATGTGGCGCTGCCAAACAGCTTCCTCGGCTGCACGACTGGTTTCTAGTCTGACACGAGGCGGTATATGCGGACGTCCATTGTCATGTGAGAGCCTCGGCTTGGTCTCAATACAAATCCAGCCCAGGCACAAGGCCGCGGGCAGAGCACGGGCCGCAGCCTCGGAGACCAGCTCCTGAGGTTGTCATGGCGCTGCTTCTTGGTGCGCGTATCTTTAAATGTCTCAGTTCTTTGCCTAAAGTCTGCGGACACTGAAGCAGGCAGGTCAACCACGCTAAACCACGTGATTGTTATGTGTTGGGCATGCTTTGCTGTCTCCGAGCGGCCAAGGTAAATCGAGTCGTGTCAGAACTGTGGCAAGGGATCAGAGTTGCTTTAGGCGCCATGGGGGTCGAGTCGAAGAATCGCACTAAGAGTTGCTGCAAACGCTCACACATGTCAACCTGTTCACCATCGCATCTAAGTTCTCAGAAATCAGTATCTTTAATGGGCCTCTCTCTCTCTTTCTCTTTCTCTCTCCGGCGCAAGGGGAGCGTCTGAAGCCCCCTTGGGTCGATGACCCACCCCTGTTGACGGATCCTTGGGGGGCGTGAGAAGACAGTGTCGTATCGTGGGGAAGCTCACGCTGAAGTCAGGCGAGGATGCTCCCTGGATACGCACTGTTTAAACATCTGCGATGACCGTGGCCGCGCTGGGTGTCAGGCGAACAACGCTGCGTGCACGTTTTGGGGAGACTTGAAACCAACAGTTTCCTCCAAGGTTGTCCCCGTGGCAGCAGAACAGGTCATCATTGTGAATGGAGACGAGCAAAAGTCCGGAAGCGGTTGAAAGTAATCTGGAAAAGTACGGAGGATTCATATGTCCATCCTGCATGTTCTCTCTTTCTCCCTCTCTTGCTTGCTTGCTTGCTTGCTAAGGCGTGTGGGCTCCCTGGGGAACCCTGGCCCGACGGCCAGGCCTAGCCCCCACAAGGTTCGCGACGGTCGGTCTTCAAGGCTTTTTAGGCCTTTGGGGTTGAGCGATACCCGTGTCCCCCCAAATGTGCCTGTAGACCCCCCCCAAACACAAACACGTTACCTAACGCCCTTGCCATGACAACCCCTCCAGGCACTGCTTGGGTCATCCGCGTCGCTCCAGCTCAGCTACTCGTGGGAGGCTGTCGCTAGCAAACTGCATTGCAAACAATAGCGAAAGACAACAGCGGAAAAGCACCACTGTCTTTCTTTCTGCAGGGCGTAAGGGTCGCGCAAGCGCCCCCCAGGCTTTCAGCCCGCCCAGCCACACTCTGTGATTATGGAGTGGCTGGTAAAGGGGTCTTTCCAGATTAAGGAAGGAACTACGAAATATGCTCCAGGTTTTCATGCAGCGATCCCCACCTAGAACACTAAGAACCCCCCGCATCCCGGCCTCATCTCCGGGCCCCTATGGCTGACCAGTCAAGTACCTAGGTCCTTCTAAGCAGGTTTCGCTGCATTGTGTTTGGAGCAGAAAAGCCGGATGAATTGGATCCCCCCCATGCTCTCACACAGCAAGGGTGGATGCCGAATTATTGTAAGAGGGCGGAACGGACTTCGTCGGGTGACGGTGTGCAGCGAATTGTAAAAGGGCGGAAAGGATTCGCCAAATCATGGCAAGGTTCTGCAAAAGTCGTACTGGACAAGTATGTTACAAAGGGCGTGCTATCGTGCAATCCCCCGGCTGGGTTCGAAAAGGTGGCGGCTTCATCGAGCTGCCTGGTAAGCTGTACGTCCCCCTAGTAAGGGTTCAAGGAGAAACTCGGGAACCAAGGTGCAGGGCAGCCACACCGAACAACAAACCGAACAACAATCACAGGTGTGCCCTCCCCCAGTTCCCTGTCCCTCGCGCATTGAACTTTTTACATATCGTGGCGCTCACTGCTCTCACGGCTGCTCTTCATATGTTCTTGTACTTGTTGAACTTGCCACCACATGTTCGGCTGGAGATGCACGCGTTGCTCCCCTCCATGTCGCCGCGGGCTGCGGCTGGGAGTGCGCGGTCGCTCTTGTCCCAAGCGCCTTCCCCCCATATCCATGTTGGCTCCTCCTCGTCGTCTCGGGCTGCGGCTGGGAGTGCGCGGTCTCTCCTGTCCCAAGCGCCTTCCCCCCACGTCCACGTTGGTTCCAGTGGTTGCCGCACCGGCACTTGAACTCGGTTCCTCTTCCCTGCCATGGGCCATGACGGCGTCGTCTTCATCATGTTGCTTGTCTCCCCCGTCCGGGTTGTGTGGCGGTGTGCTTGTAGTGGCCGAGTCAGTGCTTCCCCAGTCGACTTCCTCAACGTCGTGCTCTTTTCCCAAGACGGCTTCAGTGGCTGCTTCTCCCCCTTGGCTTTGTGCTGGAGTCGGCTGCTTCGGTGTCTTCTTCTTGACCTTCCGCTGTCTTCGCATTTTCCTTCGGATCTGGCGCGCCTTTGTGAGTAGTGCACCAGCCTTCTGCAGGAAGCGGATCAGGTGGGCCCGCCCGCGTCTCGTCAGCGAGTGCAGGTAGGTATTTGTCCACTATTTTGGTGACCCTGTCCGCTGCTGTGGCTATCTTGCACCGCGACTTGAAGCGGTCCCGGTACTTTCCGTACTCCCCCGTATCCTTCTGGTTGAGCGGCTCGTTGGTCTCGGCGTCCATCCACACCCCATCATCTTCGTAGATCTCTCGCTTCCCCCATTTATCGAGGGGTCCAGGTAGAAAGTGAAGTCCCAATCCCCCTCGGGTCGTGAACCTGGTCATGTGTGAGAAAGGGACCTGCGGAGTTCTTCCGTCCCCCGCTTCTTGTTGTGGAGGATCGCGTCCCTGCGTCACTGGTCGGCTCCCCGATCCCCTCTCACTGCTGCCGTGGAACCGACAGGCTGGGTCGGAGCGTTCATGTACTTTTCGGAATCCCTGCTGGCAGATTCCAGAGCCCTGCCGACACAGGCGACATTGCTTCTTTCCT